TATATATAAATAAATCCTTCTCCTACCTTAGTGGCCTCGACACTGTGTGGCGCTGTCTCCCTCTCTGGTTATTTTTATAACAATAATATAAAACGTTTTCCTAATCATTATTATTCTTAATATGATCAATATATTTGATTATATTTATGTTTCTGATGTTTAGATGGTGGGGGGTCAGTTAATGAATTTATAGTATATTTCTGATAAAAAACAGCGTCAACAGTTTTTCCTGTCAGGACCCAGAATCCCTGGCTCCGCCCCCTGTCCCTCACGACTGAATACAGCACAGAGTAAAACTATGTTCAAATACCAACCACTACTGTACAAATGAAGTATAACTTCATTTGTACAGTAGTGGGGGTCAATAAAGTATTCAGAGTACCATGGATCTTCGTACAAACAGAGCATTTAGAGTCATCTGACGTCTCCAACTGTTTTTCTCTCACCTCCTGCAGCGCCTCCTACCGACCGAACCCCTCCCCCTCTGAGGACCACCTGCGGTCTCGCGCTTAGCTCCGCCCTCCTTCTATTCCGCGCGTTCTCCAAGCGGACGCGCGAAATCTCGTCCTCGAGCTCGGCGATGGTTTGACCGAACACGCTGAAGATTTCCTCCGCGGCCGCGGTGAGGCGCTGTGTAATGAGAAGGCGGAGCATCGTGATCTTCGACATGACGACACGAGTAGAGACGAACACCGACACGCGAACCGAGTCGAGCGCGACCTGACGGAACCACACAAACGGCCAGAAAAACCACTGATGCCAAAACAGTAAAGGCACTTCCGGTTTCATATGTCAGCGCATGTTCAGTGACGACCCACCGTCACCCAAGGCAGGAACAACGTCACGCACTCACCACGTGACCACAACCGTCGTTTAATGGCTTCAAGTTACTTCAAGAAACTTAGTTTGATGGAATAAATGGACGATGGGAAATAAAAGAAATACCAGTGAAATATTTGACATGAGAATAAAAAAAAAACTTTAATATATAAGAAAACGAATATTTACTAATGTTTATCACGGTCAATTATTGAGTTACAAAAACGGTTCTAGTGTAAATTCTTGTCACAGTTTCTAATATTCTCTTAATTTGTTCTGGTTCTTGTCCAGTCGAACTAATATTATATATCATCAAAATATATATATAAAAAAATTGAATTGAATCTTGGGAATTCAAATGTGGAAATAACTGAAAAGAAATGAACCAAATATTTCTGTAAAAAAAGCAGGAAAAAACCAAAACAAAGTATATTATTTTGTACTACATGATGGACTGATACTTTAAAAAAATGAATAAAATGAAAAGTAAATAAAAGTCAACAGACAAGAGTTTCTAAAAACAAAAACAGCTGAAAAAGGAAGAAAAACTGAGAAACTAAAAACGGAATAAAACTAGTTACATTAAAACTGTTCATGAACTAAAATAATTTACAATATATAAAATATAAAAGAAGAATGACAGGAAACTAACATTTAAAAAAAAGTTTATTTAAAATGTAACTTTGATGATGCAAAGATAATGGTCTGAACCCTGTCCAGGTCTGAACCCTGTCCTGGTCTGAACCCTGTCCAGGTCTGAACCCTGTCCTGGTCTCAGGTCTGGTTCAGACGACACAGTCTGGTCCTGGTCCTGGTCCTGGTCCTGGTCCTGGACACGGATGTCTCTGGAAACACGACTGTTGGCTGAAGCGTCGCCCACAGCTGTGACAACTGAACGGTCTCTCTCCCGTGTGCGTGCGCATGTGCACGGTGAGGTTACCCTTCTCCACGAAGCCGCGACCGCAGAACGTGCACGTGAAGGGTTTCTCCCCCGTGTGGCTGCGCATGTGTCGCAGCAGGGTGGCCCGACGGCCGAAGCTCTTCCCGCAGACGGAGCAGGCGTGCGGACGTTCGCCCGAGTGGATCCTCAGGTGCGAAGTCAGGTTCCCGCGCAGCGTGAAGCGCTGACCGCACACCCCACAGCCAAACGGCGTCTCCCTGTGGAGCCGCAGGTGGAGCTGCAGCGACTCACCGTCTTCCAGGTGTTTCCCGCACACGCCGCAGTCCTGGGGGTGTGTCGCGGCGTGAGCCAACAGGTAGCCCCGCCTCTGGAAAAACTTCCCGCACATTCTACAGACGGACACGGGGGGCGACGACGATCGGTGGGACGTCAAATGCAGAGGTGTCTGATCGGTGGAGCTGCTCCCCTTCAGGACATCAGGTGACCTTTGACCTTTGGTATCCTCCGTCTTCTCGCCTCCTACCTCGTCGTCTCTCCAGAAGTCGCTGCTGTCGTCAGTGTCAGAACTGTTCGGCTGTTTGGACTCGACCGGACTTTGATCCTTGTTGACTTCCGCCTCTGTTTTAACCTGAGGGGCAGCGGCCCAGCCGGGGTCCACCTGCCCCCCCTCGTCCACACCTGACCAATGGAAACATTTTCCACTTTAAAATTAGTTGTTTATTAGTCGAAAAACAGTACCAGGAAACAGCACAAGAAATGAAGATTAATAGTGAAAAGTCGTTAATTGAATCACGTCAGAAGATTTATTTTTACAACTGTACGGTCAGGTCTTTCCAGCAGGTTCACCTCACCCACCTGCTGCCGAGCCCCATCTTCCCTCCTCGGTCTTCAGGCCATCCAGCTGTCGCTGCTGCAGGTCGATCTGCTCCCTGTACCGGGACACGGTTCTCCCGAACACCGTTAGAATTTCCTCCACCGCTGCAGTCAGCCGCTCGCTCACCATCCTCCGCAGCGTCTCCATCTCCGATTGAGGGTCACTCAGCGGCTGTACGCCGTTAGAGCACAGCGTCGGCCCGGAGAATAAGCAGGAAGATGAGAGACGGTGATCCGCCGCCATGTTGGATTTCAATCAGCCAGGAGTCCGACCGTAAAAACAGACCGTGGAGAAACAACATCCGCAAACATCCGTAAATACAACTTCGACTTCCGGTAACGTTGATAAACATTTAAAAATGTCACAAAATAAAATAATTTGCAAATTAGTGATTAACCTGGACTGTTACCGGGTAAAAGGTCGACAAAACACACACACATGAAACAGGAACAGTCTACAAAGCCACGTTTGTGTTAAATAAATGTCTTTAAAATGTCGATGTAGCAGATATTTTTAACAAAAAATAATTTTTGAAAGATTAACATTTAAAGAAAAACAAGTATAATGTAAATATAGAGGAAGACCGTATATAAAGCTAAACTAAACCAGTGATAGTACACTGTTGTTACACAGTTGAAAAAGAATTGTACTTGTGGAAAGTAGTTTGTACAGGTATTACACAGTGCACACACATTACTGAAGTATCTTAAAGATACTTTTTCCTGTTGAAAGTAAAAACAATGACAACAACGATATTTCTGAAACAGAGGTCGAAAGTTTAAGAAATAAAGTTCATACAGTTTAAATAAAAAATTAAGTTTAAGTAAAAATAAGGGCCGTTAATTTAAAGAATTAAAGAAGTAAATCTTTAAAACTGACTTCGGCTCTTTTTTTATTTATGATGTTCGGTTTTCTGCCACTGGAGGGCGCCTGAGTCAACATCGTTCGTCCGATATAGTCACCCTATGAGCTCAGCTCCGGTCCAGACCATCTCCAACTGTAACTTTTTTTAACTCTTCGTTCCTCAATCATTGTTTCCTGAACTGTTAAACACGGATTCGTTCATCGATTACCTGTAAACACACACACACACACACCCACACACACACACCTAGCAGGAGCAGCACGATACCAGAAACATCGCGGAAGTGTTTTTTATTTTTTTGTGATATTTCCTCCGTGTCACTTAATATTTCACAATAGTACACACATACTTTACAAGTTCTGTGTCAAGTCTGAATCACTGGAATTATTTGTTTGTACTGAATAAACTTTACCCCGAAGAGAGCGACCAAGATGATTCATTCAAAAAAAAAAGGAGTGTGTGTGTGATAGAGTGTGTGTGTGTGTTTGGGTGTGCCTCTTAAAGCAGCAGGTATCTTCAGCTCAGTCTCACTGAAACTGTCGAACCGTCCTCATGGATCCTCTGACGCTGCTACTGCTGATCACCTTGATCGGTAATCGATTATTATGGAATATCGTCGTACTTCTGCATTAACGGACTTTATTCTTCTGTCTTATATTTGCTGAAAGTTTTTTCTGTGTGTATTTGTCTGGTGTGTGTTTTTTGTGTAAACTTCGCTGCTAACGCAGCTCCTCCCCACGAACCAGGCTCCGCATCGATTATAAAGTCTTTTCTTTATTTTTCTAATAATTATTTACTGATCACTGGTTGATTTTTATGGCTTCTGTTCTGATTCACCTGTCCGTCTCCAGGACGCTGCGCAGGGGCAGACATCCTGCCTGACGGTCCCGTGGACGCGACCCTGGGCTCTGACGTGGTCCTGAAGACGCTGCTGACCAACCCAGAATACGCCTTTATGATCTGGAGCTTCAGCGACGGCACGGACCAGGTAAACATCGCCACGCAGGGACAGACGGCCCTCAAAGTCAACTCACGTTACGAATCCAGGGTGTCCGTGAACGCAACCGACGGATACCTGACCCTACGAAAACTGACGCGCGAGGACAACGGGGACTACAGTTTAACCGTGGTGTCCGCGGACGGAACCACCAGCACTGGCGAGATCA